ACAAAATAAAACAGTTGAAATAATTGTAGGACTTTTCTCTCATGGGGAAAAAAAGATCTGCATTTTATCCAATTTCCTTTATGAAAACTGAAGATTTCGTACCAAACGAAATTCTTACAATATAACCTTCCTTACGAACTCTCCTAATTACGATATAACCATCTCGGATCTTCCCTTTGGTAAATGGTCTACATCCTTTTACCAGTATTTGGCTGTCATAATCCATAAGGAAGCATATTAGAAAAACAAAGGGGTCCGCTATAGGCAGGGTTTAATTTCACAAATTAGAAATACCGGAGCCCTAGAGAAGACCTTCAGGAAAGAGGAACAAGAATAAATAAAAGAATAAGATGACTAATGAAATCATTAACAATTAAAAAATTATTAAATAATGAATGGTTAAAGTAATTATATAATTAAAATTTAATAATATGCAAAGAGATAAATTAGAATAAAATAAGCAATTTTTAATATAATTTTATTACTAAAGTTTCGAAGATCAAATTTCTACTAAAATTATTGTTCAGTTAAATTTGCTAAAATTACGAATTATCCCCAAAACTAAGAAGCACCGGCGCAATTTAAGCCCTGGCTATACTGATATGTATTTTGATAAAGCAAGAGAAGAATCCATCTTTGGTCATGACCAAACATTGCGCATGATGAGATTTGATTGTAAACCACATGAGAGGTGGAGTTTAAATACGTCAGAATCACGTCACCATAGCCACACCATGGCCTTATAGAATAGACAACCCAGGGCGGGGCTCGCGTCACCGCTGTGGCAAGAAAGATAGGGACATCTGGTTTACTTTAACACTGAACCTATGGCGTTGTATCACATAACTGTTTTTAAATTATTAAATCGATTATAAAAACCACATTTTTTCCAAGAATTTAATATATCTCATTAAAGTACTTTTACGCATTTCGCGCATTTTTTTCACTAATTCTTGTATAATACTTACTTGGTAAAACGGTAAAAACTCTAGGCCAAAATTTATGAACTATTTTGCGTAAATAAACAAATTATAGATTGATATACTGATCTTGGAAATAATAAGGCAAATTAAACATATCTGATAATTTTTCTAAAAAATTAATGCACATTTTCAGCCGCGATTTTCCAAACTTAATAACATACGAAACGATCATATTATTTATTATATACTTAATTATTAACATTAAAGTGGATTGGGTTATTTTAATAATTCATAAATTTCGGAGCATAAAATTTCTGAGCGTAATGAAGGGAAAGAAAAAGATAAAATAAAATCTAGAAGCACTCAGATTTTATTACACCCAAGGAAGCTTTTTTTAAAGTTTTGTGTTACCTATATTATTGAATATCATGTTCTTACATATTTTTGAAAATAGCTATCTTTAGAATTTCGCACTGGAGATAAAATGTTATTTTCCGTACAGTGCTCGCTCTGAACGTTGAGTCTGTTAAATGAAAAATTCGTTAAAGTTTTACAAAATGAAATAGATTAAAACAAATTCGAAATTTGGCCGTCCAGATGCTCATGTTCGGGTGGAGGATACATTTCCAATTTTGATGGCTCTAGATACTGTCGTTTTTGTCACAGTCCGAAACAGACATTATTATGCAGATTCTTCATTATTTAATTTCTTTACATATAATACAGGGCGATAAGATTGATAACAACAATTTGCAAGGAGACACGGACTTTATAGTAAACAGCGCAAAATGTCTCTTCGAAACAACAGCCTTTCTAGGCTACCGCTGCTTTGGGCTATAAATTAAATTAACAGTAAATAAAAAAAATCTTATGCAGAACTAAAATAAATTTTAAAAAAAATCACTATAAAGTACAAGCAAATTAATTTTACTTTTAAATACAATTATAATATTAGATTAATGTATAAAAATTTTTAAGTCAAAAGTCGTTTATCACTATGATGTATTATGAAATATAATTGAATAAAACTCCTTTATAGAAATTATGCTATATACTCATCTATATAATTTAAAAAAGCAGCACAATTTAGAATTTTAAACAAAACTTTCGAAAATTGGTTTTAAATATTTAGTATTTTTTACTTATTTACACAATAAAAAGCAAAAAATTGCAAGAGAAATTATTTGTTTGAAATTTTCTATTTTTCAGATTTAAAATATTGTTTTCTAAAAGAGTAGTTACCAATTTCCTTACAGCATAGGGAAAAAAAAATATCCAATCTGAAAGCATGCAATAGCTTTATAATTATTTGGAACATTAATTGTGCTTCATAAATATGCTAAACTTTCATCAATCTCAATTTCAAAAATAAAAATATAGAAATTCTAATTTGCGAAAAGAGGCTAAAACCAGCTTTTTTCTTGACGATTATACACGTTTCAATAGGCAACCCTGTAAATTCTGCAAGTCGTCCTACTCCTCCGATGTTGATCAAGGTGACAGCCGGCCCGCCTCAGACGAGGGAGGAAACCCGTTTGGGTTAGTCTATTTCTTATAAGGTCCATGTCTGTTATCAGTTATATTCACAAAAACAGATGTATCAGAAAAAAGCAAGACGCTAAATTATTCAGCTATCAATTATATTCACAAAAATAGATGTATTTTATTCTCCAGCTTGATAAATGAATTTGCAAAAATGGTAATTTGTACTCTTTTTTGGACTATTCAAATTAAAAATGTTTATCGCAGAAAATGTAAATATAATTTTCTAATACGAATTTTACGTTTATTTGTATTAAATGTCATTTCAACGGAGTTAAGAGTGTATCCATGTTGATCTTTTATGTGATTTCTTAAATCTTCAAACATTCTACATGAAAAATTAAAACACTAATGGGACATTTCAAGTTACCTTAAGCCACAACAGGTCCACACACGAAAAATTACGAGATGATGAGAAAACAGCATCGAATAACTCCTATTGCTCAAAACAACACTCGTAGCAAATAAGAAAAATGTTGGAAATGCTCCCGCGATCGACCTAGCACAGTATCAGTGCTGACAACTGTGGCACTGTACTACTCTCCCTTTAACTTTATAGGGTACAATTTCTACATAAAAATATATAATATTTAGTATGCCGTATATCCTCTTTACACTCAGTTCATTCATAATTTTAATTTGATGCATGGGCATTGGGGCGTTTGTTTTTAGCCGAACCATATTTTCCATTTTCTTTACCTTAAGTCCCAGTACTTTGAACTCATCTTTAATTTCATCTACTGAAATACCATCAGAAACTCCCTTACATACGACTTTAATAGGTTGTCTACTTTACATGTAATGAGATAATGAACTACAACACGTTCATTCAAATAACGCGAAATTGTTCTATGATCAGAGTCAGTTTTAGGGAAGAACTTAAGAAATCCGCCACTGACTTTGCTTGTAAAATCAGATTTAGTTTCCTTTTTTAAAATTTTAACAAAATCAGAAAATTTATTCCCGGTTGGACCATTATTGGCCTGATTTTCGGGCGTTGAGAGGATGAGTTACCTTGTTCAATCTGAGGGGTCTAGTCTGGATACCGGTCGAGATCGATGTCAGAAACCAATCGGATTTCTCCTTCCACTCGACAGCAGACGACGGGCAGTAGTTTTTAAAAAACTGACTGCATCTAGGGGATGAAGTTGAAAAAAGTGAACGATGTCCTTTGTTTTATGAAGTTATGGTATAACAGGTACTGTACTCGTAGCTCAGTGAGTGATAGTGCTCCATCCTACATAAAAACTACCTGATCCAGCAACTGCCTCTGCTGAAGTTGGTGAATAGTGAAACCAGTCAGCTTATGAAGATGTTTTTGCGTGTTAACGATATAGGTCTGTAGTCCTGTTAGAGTAATGTTCTGAAAAAGAATGGGCCTATGATGAAATTTGGTGTGAAGCTACCCTAAACAGTGATTTTTGGTTAATGCAGTGGGATTCTTGAAATGTATGCAGCTGTTCAAATGCTCAAGTTCAAGAAAAGTGGGTGTGGACAGTCCCATTTAGGTGAAAATGAGCCCCGTTTCTCCAGAGAATATTTACTACATTAGTATAATATTAATAAAAATTCCTTTTTAAGTATATTAACTCATCATCGGTCAAGTGATAAAGCCGCTAAACGCTAGTAGCTCGATCTGGTTTCGAATCCTAACACATAGGTTGGTTGAATTGGAATTTTAGAGATTTTCTCCGTGTGTAACGGGAGTACGAACCATTTCTCTCGAAAATTCCTCCAAGAAGCTTTTTTTTTTTTTCTCTTAGGCAGAGACCTGGAGTGCTTTTCCATAATCTAAACAATGCAATTTTTGCAAGTATTGCGTAGCTGTAAACATGGTTTTTTTTTTTTAAATGATATTCGAATTATTTGGTTGTTTTATAATCCTGTTTTAAACTTGCTGTAATCCGTCTCGTACAATACATATTCAAAGTTCATTATACTCTGAAAACTGTTACGAGGTCGTTCCACTCAGTCTTCTAGTCACCTGAATATTGCCAATTGCAAGAAAAAAGTGAGAGAGAGATGGGGAAAGGAAGGAAAAAAAGAACGAGAGGGTGCCTGAACTTTGGAGATGCCTGAAGATCTATGATTTGCTATTTTTTAGGAGTGAAAGTAAAGAAGTTTAGAAATGTCAAAAATACTTAGTTAGAAATGTCAAAAATACTTAAATTACAAGAAATATAATTTATTTTCTATTGTTATGAGCAAAATTTGGGATTTTGAATCTTAGGAATTACTTCCTTTTAGTATTATTATCAATTAATAATTACCTTTTTGTGAAAGAGCATTTTTAAGTAGCATTACTTGCTGAATTTTACCTACGTACGAATGAAACGAGAAAATTCTCTAGCTTATTTACAAAGCACAGATGCCAATAAAGTGTAAGGGAATTCAGACTAATTATAAAATCGTCTGTAAATCCCTTTTAATATTGAAATAAATAAATAAATAAAAAATAAATAAATAAATAAATTATGCCTCAAAGTAGAACGTTATGAACCTGCCAACAATGATTTTATTTTGTACGTTTGCATTTCAAAACCTGGCAACAAAAATAATACACGGTATTTATCTGAATGTTCTCCGTGTGAAGAATCCTCGTCATCATAAATTTAGAAATGACTGGGTTTTCGGAGAAAGTAAGTAGAATTTCCTTCTTTCGTAATTAATGTTTTAGATAAGAAATGAAATTTTTACCTTCGTATATTTTAGCTTCTTAAAGTTTTAAGAAACCATTGTCCACGTGGTACATAAAGTACTTGATGCTACTAGTATCATCGTTCTAATTACCAGTGATTGATAACCATTAGTTAAAGAATAACTGAAATTTTCTTTATTGTGGATATTTAAATGCTTTTATAAGGTTCTGACTATATGATGTGTAATTAGAAAGGTTTCAATATTAATAGTGGAATTTTAGGCTTAATCGTTTTTTGCACGCCATTTTTTGGCAGTGAATTGGATTTCTAAGAAAATCATATGGGAACTGGTCGTTAAAATATTACTTGAGCGTCATCTGGGAAAAGGCATTATAAAGAATATTTTCTTTTCTTTATTTACATTTCTTTGATTAAATTCCTTAGAGATCATTTTGTGTTTGCAAACCTATCTGATTCGCATAATAGTTTAGTTGCTTAGAACCGATCAAACTTCGCACATTAAAGCGTTTAGAAAACTGAAAAGTTGAGATCCATATTCGAAATTTAGACTGTTGGAGTGACATCTAGGTCATTTTGCGCAGTTGTTGCGCCCTGTTTTGCTAAAGTTGATACCCAGAGAAGTAGGTTTAGAACTTAACCGAAGGTATGAGTCTAAAGCAGAATTTTTAATTACATTAACTTCTTGAGTTTCTTTGCCCAGAAAAATAACGTAGAGAATCATGGGGTACTTTAAATGACTTTTGGATTCGATATTTAAAAATTAAAATTTGTAATTTAATTAGTCGTTAATTTAAAATTGATGCATAATTTTACTTAAAGGTATATCTGCAGTGGTAAAGAGCAGTAGTTCATCGTTTATAGTGTTATGAAAGATTTGTATGTATGAAGAACATGTATTCTACTTTCTATACTATGCTTAAGCTGAGTAAATTCTACTCTTTAAATTCTGAACTTTCCATAATAGTCGGCAGGTATTTTGTGTTAATGCTCTGTAAATAATGTGATTTTACTTTGAAATCATAAAAATTAGCTATAGATGTCTTTTGAAAATTTTTGTATATATATATATATGTAAAATTTTGTATTTGGATGATATTAATAATTATTAAAGCTTTGTGTACTTCAGAAGGATTGGATGTTAATATAGTTAAGTTAGTTTTTTTTCCCTTGATATACTATGAACATTTGTTTTCATTGGATTGTTTTTAATGGCTGAAAATATCTTTTTAGGCAATCATAATTGATGGTCGAGGTCACCTACTAGGGCGACTCGCTGCTTTAACAGCTAAAACATTGCTTAATGGTAAGTGAAGTATTTTTAAACAGTAAAGTTTTAAATGAAATATGCTGTGTAAATTGTGATAGGTAAGCATATTTGGCTATTGTATTTTTACCATTAGTTAAATGTATTTTAAATTTCCATCTGTTTTCATTATTTGACATTATTTTTATGTTATGTGGGAATTAATGAGGCTTCTCTATATGATTATGACGTAAAAAATATGTGGTAACATCCTAGTATACAGGTGGTGCGATTTTTCAAAACTGTTACCAACACCAAAATGACTTGTTTATGTTTGTCACCAAATTTTTTCCAGTGGCATAATGAAACGTCACCGTAAGTTTGTGTATGCAGAAAAGTAAACAAAATGCTAAATCCATAAGCATATAAGAACTAAAGCAAGCATTTAGATATTGAAAATAATGTTAACATACTTCACAAGGAATAAAAACAAAACTTGGTAAAAATATATTTATGGGTACCCCTTGGTGATTTTTTGGCAGTAACTGGATACCGAGTTTGTGCAATTCATTGAATTGTTATTTTGGCTTGTAAAATCGCCACTACACAAAGCCAAAATAACAAGACAAAGAATTCCACAAACTGGGTATCCATGTACATATCAACCGGTTTTCACTTAAAGAAAATCGGAGAATTGTACGTACTAGGCATTGCACGCTCCCTTTATCCATGTACACATCGACCTATTTTCACTTAAAAGAACAATCAAAGAATTGCCCAAACTAGGCATTGCGCATGCCCTTGACTTTGTCTGTGTACACATCGAACTGTTTTTACTTAAAAAGTCAAAGGAGCAGCCAACATAAAAATATATCTTTTCAATAAACTACTTTTTTAACAAAATATTGTTGGAAAATAAAATTTAGTAGTGTCCATGTAAATCACTAATGACTAAGGTTATCTAATTTAATTATTTATAACTACTTACCCTTAAAAATTGTCTCTGCCTATTTAAGCGAGTCATTGCCTTTCATTAATCCTCATTGGTAACAAGATAAAACTAAAAAATGTAAAAATTCAACTAAAACTTATTCTTCACATGTAACTTAAAATAATATAAAATAACTTATCCCCTTGGGTGCTTTAGTGGCTAAGTGAAACCTTAAAATATATTAACTGCAGGCATGAAAGTTCTGCGTTTTTGCGGAATTCCACTTTTTTTAATGTAAACTGGGCTGTTTCTGAGATCGATGCAGAACCGTCAAGAAATAGTGACCGGCAAATGTGGGTGGGGGGAATGGAGGACATGCTCTCTCTTACTCTTTTTTTTGTAAAAAAAACTACATCATGCCAGAGATCGTGAAATGCATTGTTTCACATCAAGGCGGAGTAGGTGGGGCTTATGTAGAAAGGCGGAACTATATGTGTACGAATATCGAATCAAAGAAGAGGAAGCAACCGTCAAACGAGAGCTGGCTTCAATAATTTCAGGGATCGGTGCTGGCGTTATCTGTCGAACATATGGAAACCCTAATGATGTTATCCATAGCATGTGTGAGTTTTCGCATGTGTAAAGTTGCATACTGTAATTTGGAGCGTAGATTGTTATTTTTTATTTATTTTTTTATTTTTATTTATTTATTTATTTATTTATTTGTTGCTGTACATTTTTCAGTATGAATATCTGAAATCCGAATCATGAGCACAAAGCTCGGTGTATGGATAGTGAAGAAACAAATAAGTTCAGATTTGTGTGGCTGAAAAACATTGTAAAAATTCATGTGAATGGACAAGAAATGGAAGTGGTCGTTGGCAGTTGCATTCAGAAAGTAGATATCAGTGGTAAAGTGAAGTGTGCATTGTGTTCTGATCTAATATATTATGGAAAAAGGGGATATGTTGCTATTAGTAGCCATATCAAATGCAAAAACATTGTGGGAGAGAAGTAATGAAAAGAGATAATTACAGAATGCCATCATCATATTCATCTTTGACAGACACAAACATAAGTATGCAGGAGAAAAAAATTAGCAGTTCCAAGTATTCCAATTTGTCATCGAGTTTCCAGCTTAGAGGATCAACTGCTTGGAGTTATAGCTGAAAATAATTTGCCGTATACTGTAGCACCTGTGATAATTGATTTGGCTAAAGCAATGGCATCTGATAAGAAGGCACTATCACAGCTCTCAAAGGCTCGTACTACTGCTTCATATAAAATGAGATTAGGCCTCTCAAAAACATTTTTCAGTGAAACTGTGATCAATTTTAAAAAGTTTAAAATTTCATTAAATATTGATAGCATGTAGCAAGCTACATGTAGTAATCGAATGAGAGTTTTGGGCATATTAGCCAGCTACTTTTATACAGAACACAATAAAGTAGTGGTTGAGCATTTAATATCTGTTAATATTTTTAATGTGTCTGCTGAACAACTATTTCAAAAAATTGTTCCATTTTTGACAAAAATCGGCTGCCATTAGAGAATCTCATGTCTGTTTTGATGGATTCTTGCAATATAATGAGAGGATCAAAGTCTGGATTAGAGGTGAGACTTCGTAATCAGAAAGCTCCTCATTTGTTAGATATTGATGGAGATTCTTGCCATCATATACATCCAAGGTATTTTCTAAACCATTTGGTGGGTGGGTAGAAGATTACCTATGAGATATATATAATTACTTTAACTGGTCTGTTGATTTAAAAGAAAAATTGAAGAAATATGTGATTTCAAATGTCAGATATACTGCTACTGAACATTTTATTAACACCGCTGGCTTTCCATATATGATACGTTGAGTAATTTACTCATGTTTGAATGTTTAACCATTTTTTATTATGGATTTTTAAATCAGCATGACAAATTATTATATTTTAATATATGTTGCAGTATCTAAACAAAGAAATCTGAGCAGTGAAAGCAGAGAACGTATTAAGGATATCCACAGGTATTTACAGAAAATGTATTTGACAAGTGATGGAAGGAAACAAAAAGAAAGAATAATTTCAAAACTATTTTATGACAGGAAAAAACTAATTATGCATTTTTATGCGTCTGTATTGCTGTTATTAAAAAAGTATGTCTATTTCAAATGAAAGGGCTTTTAATACATAAATTGCATGATGAGCAGAAGCAGCTATTTATTGATGTTTTAGCACTGTTTGTTAAGTCAGAATTTCTCATCTTTTATCCCCAAAGAATATGTATTTAGGAGCAGCTACAATTGCACTTATTTCAAAAAGATTTACATATGTCAAAAAGATGAAACATATGTTAAAGAATTTTTTAAAAATTCCACTGAAGCTTTCATCAGCTGTGCAAAATATGTGCAGAAGACTTTGCCATTGAACAACCCATTATTAAAAAGCGATCCTACAGAGAGAGGTCACCATAGTACTTTACTTAAGTTAAAAAGATTGCCTAAATTAATCCAGAGTGTTTTGACACAAGAAGATGAAATTTCATATAATTTAGCAGTGCATAAATGCCAAATTGATAAATTAGGGTACTATTCGGTTTCGAAAGCCGTAAAAAATTGCCAAACTATTGTTGATGCCAATGCTGCCAAAAATAATTGCGGCAAGAAAGGAAGTATAATAGTAAATAACTATCTAAAGATTATTGTTTTAATTTAGATGAAGGGTTAATTTCATATAATACTTTTTTATTATTATATTTATATGAAAAGGCTAAACATGACTGAATGGAAGCATAAGAGTAAATAACTATTTCAAAATCATTATTATAATTTTATATAAAAAACTTGCAGCTAAACATATCTCAATGGATGCCTGCATCACTATTTCGCTACCGACTTATCGCTAAAGCATAATTTCATCTTATTGGTTGTTTAAACGTAATTTTCTATAATGAATGATCTATTTTCTTTGAAAATATTCTTGGTAAAGTACAGAATCGTTCCCCCTGCCTGGTAGATAGCTACAGCATTAACAATAACCTACTTAAGTGAAATGACTGCTTCTCTCTTGGGGTTTTTTCTGCGGTTTCATCCATTGTGTGCAGTTTCACCTTAGAGCCGGATTGCACCTGCGAACATTAATAGCTTTCCGTATGTCTCCTTTAGTTGCTTCAAAAGATTGATTGACATGTCTCTTAACAACTCGAAAACCAATGAGCCATACACTAACGTGGAGGGGGAAAGCACTAGGTAGAAAATGAGGCGTTGGGGCGGTTTGCCGTTGCCTGAATGAACGGGCGCTATGGGCGACTTCGATGCAAAAGAGTTAAAGTGAAAGTAGGTCGATGTGTACATAGATAAAGTCAAGGGTATGCGCAGTGCCATTTTTGTGAAATTCTAGGATTTTTTTTTAAGTGAAAATAGGTCGATGTGCACATGGATACTGGGTATGTGCAATTCTTAAAAACGCGTTAAGCAGTTGGTAATTCTGCACTTTACCCAAAATTCTATTGCCGACTTTTAGTCATGGGCAATTCCCAAATTGTTAAATCCAACTTGCACTTTGATGCCTGATTAATTTTCGATGACTCGCGGAATTTGTCCTGTAGCGAACATTGACCACAATTGAATTTTTTATATCCGCGGACCTGAAATCCGCGTTGCCTCTCAAAATATAAACATTCAGTTTATAAGTTCCAGAAATCGCAACATTGAGTACGAAATATCAAAGAAAAAATACTTACCGAATAATAATGAGTCGTAATGGAAATACCAAATTATTGACATGATAAAAAGTATTTTCCCCCTCTAATGTGCATCAAGGTAAAAAAGCAGACAATTCACTCAACTCTTCTTTCAAGTTGACGATTCACGATGTTGTATTTTCTGAGCTTTGTTATTTCATGAGATTATTTGGTACTGCCTTCTTTTTTTATCCAGATATTTTGTGAATAAATTAAGAATATTTTAAATTTCAGCCCTTTTTAATACAATTACAGATAAGAAACGCACTCATGATTTTACTGCTTGCAATGTTGAAAAACGTAAACACATTGCATGGACGGTAATGCAAAAAGTGCAAATTCTGCAAAAGAGGGCAGCAGGTGGTGCTACTCCTCGGTTTATAGCAGAATCGTGTGGAAT